TATTGGATTACTCTTTACCATGTGTGTCAGAATTCATAGTGATTTAACAGCTTTTATGCATTGTTATAAGGTTGGAAAAATGTTCCCCGCTTCAAGTCAGCACCAGTGCTGATTTCAAGCTGCGAAGATTTTTTTTTTTAAACATATGTTTTAAAATTAATAATTTTTGCAATTAAACACTGTATTGGATTACTCTTTACCATGTGTGTCAGAATTCATAGTGATTTAACAGCTTTTATGCATTGTTATAAGGTTGGAAAAATGTTCCCCGCTTCAAGTCAGCACCAGTGCTGATTTCAAGCTGCGAAGATTTTTTTTTTTTAAACATATGTTTTAAAATTAATACATTTTTGCAATTAAACACTGTATTGGATTACTCTTTACCATGTGTGTCAGAATTCATAGGGATTTAACAAGCTTTTATGCATTGTTATAAGGTTGGAAAAATGTTCCCCGCTTCAAGTCAGCACCAGTGCTGATTTCAAGCTGCGAAGATTTTTTTTTTAAACATATTTTTAAAATTAATACATTTTTGCAATTAAACACTGTATTGGATTACTCTTTACCATGTGTGTCAGAATTCATAGTGATTTAACAGCTTTTATGCATTGTTATAAGGTTGGAAAAATGTTCCCCGCTTCAAGTCAGCACCAGTGCTGATTTCAAGCTGCGAAGATTTTTTTTTTTAAACATATGTTTTAAAATTAATACATTTTTGCAATTAAACACTGTATTGGATTACTCTTTACCATGTGTGTCAGAATTCATAGTGATTTAACAGCTTTTATGCATTGTTATAAGGTTGGAAAAATGTTCCCCGCTTCAAGTCAGCACCAGTGCTGATTTCAAGCTGCGAAGATTTTTTTTTTTAAACATATTTTAAAATTAATACATTTTTGCAATTAAAACTGTATTGGATTACTCTTTACCATGTGTGTCAGAATTCATAGTGATTTAACAGCTTTTATGCATTGTTATAAGGTTGGAAAAATGTTCCCCGCTTCAAGTCAGCACCAGTGGTGATGAAGCTGCGAAGAAATTTTAAAAATCAAAATTTCTTAAAATGAACCAAAAATTCTAAATCTACATTGCATTTGATTGTTCTTTTTAAGGTCTAACCGAATCCATAGTGTTTTAGCACTTTTTAAATGTTTTTTAAGCCCTGCAGCCACTATGCTGCAGATCACCACCAGTGGTGAAGAGTCAGTCTCCAGGGGTCCTTTCCATATTTTTACAGAGACTGCATAAGGACCGTTAGAAAAGCATTACCCATTGATTATTAAGCTTGGACCAGTGGGGTCCGGTGTTCGGGCCCCACCACGTAAAACCAGTCCCCATGACGTGAGTGGAATCTCAGGTTATGGAACCCACCAGGAGTTGAAAACAAGTGCACAGACAGACAGACAGACAGACAGACGGACGGACGGACGGACGGACGGACGGACGGACGGACGGACGGAGCGAGCACTTGTGAGACACAGCTCCTGAGTCCCCGGCCAGACCGGGTCTGCAGGGTGAGGTTGGTCCTAGCTCTGTTCTGGATCAGACGCAGCTTCAGACTCCTGTGTTGGGCACAGACAGAGAGCGGTTTTATAATAAGATCCCAAAAGAACAGCACTATAGATGACTTTCATGTGACGTCACATCCTGTGAAACAAAGCTCAGCTTACCGATTGTCGGCCATGTTGGTAGTGTAGTAGCTGCTGTAGCTGGTCACGCTCTAATGTCACATTAGAGTCTTTCAGGTGTCATTTAGGTTCTGTGAAGCGATACCATACAATTGTGCTAACAGTGTGACAAGGACAACAAATTGTTTTATCGTTTCCCGGACTTCTTTGGTTTATGTTTATGTTTCGTTTTTGCAGATTTGAAATCCATCTCGCAAATTGGAATATAGGGCAGTTGTTTGACACAGGTTAGCATGACCCACTTGCTCTTCTCCTGGGTACAGGGAACTGAACCCTCCTTCTACTGAAAACAACAGTAGGCAAACAACAAAGGCTCCTTTAAGGCCAGCCGTGCAGCTGCAGTGCGCCGGCATAACATTTCTGTCATTGTCAGCCACAAACCAAGTTCTCAATGGTGTCTCTCGCACTCTCTGGAAATGGTTGATTTAGAAAGAATAAAACGACAAACAGCATTTGTAGATACAATATGTGTGACGTCTTAAACATTAAACTACAAAGCTAAACCAAAAAAATACTGATAAATTATTTTTATTACTTACCCAAACAAAAACAACTGACTGGTCAACACAACCTTGCTTTGTCTGAAGCTTGTTCCCGAGCCGGACACCAAAAAGTTTTATGCTTCCATTGATTTGTCAAATTAGTACCATCAACATGGCAGACACTGATTACGTCATCAGTTTGGGTCACGTGGTTGAAAGTCATCTATAAGAGGGAACACTGCAGAAGCAAAACATGTTCAACACAGAACAGGAGAGTCCGACTGCCACGGAGGGAACAGTCAGAGAAGATTATACATTGTGGATGAGAGCACTGGAAGTATTTCAGCCTTTAAACTCCCTGCTTCTGAAATGGAGTCGGTTCTGTCTGTGTGCAAAGTTTCCCAGTGCAGTGCTGACAGACCTGGACACATGTAAATGTGTTGAGTGGAGAGACTCCGTATAGGGCTTGTTTCACCAGGATCACAGAGAGCTCTAAAACATTCTCTGAGCCCAAAATGGAGTGTGACGAGTTTACTTTTACACATGAGAGTCAGTAGGAGTCAGAACGAGCTGGAGCCAAACTTCACCATGAGCACTTCCCTATTTGGGCTTCATTGAGCTTGAGAGCTGTCTATAGACAGTCTATGAATCACACGAGGGGTTCCCCAAGGTTCAAGCTTCGGTCCTGTGCTGTTGTAAACCAGCGCGTGTCTGAAGCTGAAGGACAGAAAACATGGATTGAATTATTTCTGATCAACGATTAGGAGAAGATTATTTTGATTCTTTTACAACATGGAGCCGTGACTTTCAAACAGAGAAGAGGAAAAAATCTTTAACTGGAGAAATGTATTTGGAGGAAACTGGACGGATAATTTTTTTGTAAATGTCTTTGAACAGCGTCGACCAAAGTTTTATGGAAAATTAAAATAATAAAATACTTTAATTTTGTTTGTTTGTTTTGTATGCTACCTTCTCAGCAAGAAGCTCAAACCCCGTCAGAACAGGGCCTTTCTGTGTTCTCCCTGTGTAAGTTTCCTCCAGGTGCTCCGGTTTCCCCCATCACTAAAAACATGTACAACTCTGTTCCTGAAGAGCATCAACAAAGGGCAGTAAAGAGGTTCAATGTCCCACTGAGGAAGGTCCTGATCTCTGGGTCTCAGACCTGGTCTCTGGGTCTCAGACCTGGTCTCTGTCAAGGTCAGACCTCCATTTTTAATGCCATATTAACGGCTTATTAAACGAGCGCAAGGTCAGACCTTGCCACGGCTCGGTCTGTGCAAAAAGACCGAGGTCTGATATTTCTCTGAACAGACCGACCAAGCGAGGTTAATAAATGTTTTATTATGTGACTATTTTTAATTTATGCAAATACCGATTGGTTTCAACTAGTGCTGTCCAACGATTAAAATATTTAATCGCGATTAATCGCATGAATTTCATAGTTAACTCGCGATTAATCGCAAATTAGTCACACATTTGCGTGCTGTGTGCAATTGCTTTTTTATTGAAAACAATGTGTAGTGTTATATTACACACTAACATTTGATGCAAAATCATCAATAAATGGATGACAAAATAAATAATTGGTAACAAAAAGCCCCTTCAATGTGTGTGTGTGGGTGTGTGTGTGTGTATGTGTGGGTATAGACCATAGACTGTATAGAAACATCATGGTGTCATCATGATGATGATAAACAATCTGTAAATATTTTGTAAATTTGTTCATGTAAATACTCTATGCTGTTTCTCTGTTTACCTTCGGTATATCTATGACTGTATACTGTTTGCTTGTATTGCCTTTTTTATTAACCCCTCCCCCCATCTCCCACTTCATGTCCCCCCCCCCCCCCCCCCTCCCCTCCTATGTGCCCTTCTGGGTTTCTTCTTTGGCCCCCCTGTATCTCCAACTACATATTGTTTGTAATCTCTGTCTACAATGTATCTGAACTAGTCCTTTTCTTTGTTTCTATGTGTTTGTCTGCAATAAAAAGTAAAAAAAAAAAAAAAAAATCTTTTTTTTTTTTTATCGCGCGATAAAAAAAATGACGGCGTTAATATTGATTTGCGTTAACGCGTTAATAACGCGCTATTTTGGACAGCCCTAGTTTCAACTAAAAACACATGCAGCCAAAGTGTCAAACTGTGACATGAAGAACTTCTCAGATGATTGAGGCGCCCGCTGTAAGTTCTCAGTCTGTGTCTTTACCGATGCTTTTTACATATTTGTGACGTTCATGTCCCACTTGGTTTCTTAATCCTGGTTTTACCTTTCTGGTCTGTAACCAAGTTGTCGATCTCTTCTTGACTGTTGGAGTTGTGTGTTTGCCGTTATTTTCTGTTATTTCTTCCTCTGGCTCTTCCAACTCGTCCTGATGATAGAATTCACTGAGAATGCTCCAGTCGCTCATTATTTCTTTTTACTGAGGAAAGATATCGAATGTGGTACATGCTGCGGACCCATTGTCATGGTAACGGTCCGAGATGGAAAAATATCAGACCGCAAATCAGCCAATCAGAGCGCGCGTACGATCCAAGTCATAATAAAATAGATTATTATGTTTTAAAGTGAATCCACACATTTCTCTGACAACAAATTATTTATTATGAGAAAAATAACTTTATTTATGAACAAATTTTAAATTACAGTACAAAAATATGTGTCTCCGTCTGAGGTCTCTGGTCCAGGTCTCCCTGGTCTGAGTCCTGGTCTCTGTTCTCAGCCCCCGTCTTTGGTCTCTGGTCTCTGGTCTCAGTCCCGGTCTCAGTCCTGGTCTCTGGTTTCTGGTATCAGTCCCGGTCTCAGTCCTGGTCTCTGGTATCAGTCCCGGTCTCAGTCCTGGTCTCTGGTCTCTGGTCTCAGTCCTGGTCTGGAGCAGATGAATTCGTGCTCTGAGTTTGGGGAACAGTCCGTTTGGATCCAGTTCTTGGGGTTTTTCACCAGGACACACGGCGCCCCCTTCAGGGCGGACAGAGACATGACATCACTGTGGGCGGAGTCAGACACATCTGCAATGAAACACATCATCAGGACCACGCCCACTTTCAACTGGTTTCAACCAGTTCAGAACTGAATTGGTGGCAGACTGACCGGTCCAAAATGGCCGCCTCCCGGTGAACCTCCAAAACCAGTTCAGGTCTCGTCTGGACTGAACCGACACCAAAGAACTGTTGGACCTGGAACAAGACGGAGAGTTTAAGAGTTCTGTGTGACCAAGACTCTACGGGACTAAAGCCTCGGGTCTCGGACCTCAGGTCTTTGGTTTCAGACCTCGGGTCTCGAGTCACAGACCTCAGGTCTTTGGTCTCGGGTCCCAGACCTCGGGTCTCAGTATTAATAGTCTATGGTGAAGACTCACAGCAGAGAGCAGGTCCTCTGGGCACTGCTCCATGACGCCACAGACGCACTGTGCCTGAAACACTGCCCCCTGTGGAGCGTCCAGGAGGAGGGACACATGCTGCCCTCTGAGGAGGAGGTGTCGCCTCCTGCTGAGGAGGGGGAGGAGGTGTCGCTTCCTGGTGCTGAGGGTGCGTCTCTGAGTGGCTGGTCCAGGGTCTGGTCCAGGGTCTGGTCCAGGCTCTGGTCCACGGTCTGGTCCAGGCTCTGGTCCACGGTCTGGTCCACGGTCTGGTCCAGGGTCTGGTCCAGGGTCTGGTCCAGGCTCTGGTCCAGGCTCTGGTCCAGGGTCTGGTCCAGGCTCTGGTCCAGGCTCTGGTCCACGGTCTGGTCCTGGGTCTGGTGCTGGTTCAGAGGTTCAACTCTGAGGCGACTGAGGCTGTGAAACTGACAAAACAAACAACATCAGGGAAAGACACACAGACACAGACAGACACAGACACACACACACAGACACACACACAGACAGACACAGACACACACACAGACAGACACACACACAGACAGACACACACAGACACAGACAGACACAGACACACACAGACAGACACACACACAGACAGACACACACACAGACAGACACACACAGACACAGACAGACACAGACACACACAGACACACACAGACAGACACACACACACAGACAGACACACACAGACACAGACAGACATACACACAGACACACACAGACACACACACACACACAGACACAGACACACACACAGACAGACACACACACACAGGGACTGACCGTCCAGACTCGCTGCTGCCCTCTGTCGGTGGAGACCTGCTCCTGCAGCAGAACCACAGATGTTCAGTTTGACTGAATCCATGAAAGTTCAGAACTTACCTGAAGTCCAGGATCTCTGTGGTCCCAGATCTGGTCCTGGATCTGGGGCCTCCGCAGGTCTCGGGGGTGGGTCCTACTCTGGCCTATGAGGTCCTCTTTCAGCCTTTGGTCATGGGTCCAGCCCTGCTCTTGGTCTTGGGTCCAGGCCTGGTCCCGCAGGCTGAAGTCCAGCAGTCGGTCTGGGACGTCTCCTCTGGCTGGACTTTTTGAGTCCGACTCAAAGATCAACTCTGTCTCAATTTCTGTCACAGGATCCAGGTCTGGTCCAGGACTGAGACCTGGACTGAGACCTGGACTGAGACCAGGGACCAGTGGGTCCCTGTCCTCAAAAGGTTCAAAAGGATCACAACGACCTGGAAATAAACACTGGTGTAAAGAACAGAGCTGCGGCTGCTGGTCTCATGTCTGGTCTCGGCCCTGGTCCTGGTCTTGGCCCTGGTCTCAGTCCTGGTCCTGGTCTCATCTCTGGTCCCTGCCCATGATCCTGGTCTCGGCCCTGGTCCTGGTCTCTCCCATGGTCCTGGTCTCTCCCTTGGTCCTGGTCTCTCCCATGGTCCTGGTCTCTGCCCTGGTCTTGGTCTCAGTCCTGGTCCTGGTCTCTGTCCTGGTCCTGGTCTCAGTCCTGGTCCAGACCTCCTCTCGGGTCCATGATCTGGACCACAGCAGAGGTCCTTGGTCCCAGGACACAGTTCTGGGCCGAGGTCAGAGCGACGGTGAAGGACTCGTGGTTTTCCTCCAGTTCGTCTGAGACCGGAAAAATACTCCAGGTTTTCACTCCGACTCCTGAGACATAATTAAAGCTCAGGTCTGTAACTTTAAACTAAATAACACACGTTTAAAGCTCAGGTCTGTAACTTTAAACTAAATAACACATGTTTAAAGCTCAGGTCTGTAACTTTAAACTAAATAACACATGTTTAAAGCTCAGGTCTGTAACTTTAAACTAAATAACACATGTTTAAAGCTCAGGTCTGTAACCTTAAACTAAATAACACATGTTTAAAGCTCAGGTCTGTAACTTTAGTCTCACTGACCTGGATCAAACTGCAGCAGAGAAGCAGAACTGTGAGTGAAGTCTGTGCCGAC